GGTAGCTGTGTACAGAGTCGCCGCTTAGCAACGGGTCTGTACGCCACAGTGTTGATATTCTGAAACTGTGTGGTACTTATTGAACCATTGAACTAAGTGTTAGCGCGAACTGTACGTTTCGGTTGTCATCGGCTGCGCCTGTGCTGTTATGCAAGTTGCTACACTGTACGCTCAAGGCGCTTGTCACTGGAATTACAATTCTTTCATTTGAAGGGGCCAGTTGTGGCCTAAATGTAAATGTAATTCTNAACAGTAGGACATCTATTGCTGAGTAATGAACCAAACACATATTCTTGGCAAAAGAAGACGGTGTTTTCCATGGGGCCCGTGTGAAGGCCGGGTCGAATACCTCCACCATGACCCTGCGAGTCGTAGGAGGCGACGAAAATGTCTCAAATCTAAGACAGTAAGATATGGTCGCGAGTACCAAGGGAATCGGATCTGAGAAAGACTGCGCTGGAAGGGGCCAGCAGCATATACAGAAGATAGACCCGTCCTCTCATCAGAGAGGGCACCCCACAGAAACAAGACCGTAACTGTCTGACAGTAATAAATATCTGGTCATGAACTCCAGATGAGGCTCGGAACCAAGACTTACTGACTGTCTGTCAGTCAGTCGCAGTGTGACTTGAACTTGGACCTGAAGGAGTACGAGGGAGTACAGTGGAGTAGTTCTGCCCAGTTTAGTTCAGCTGTCCATTGAAAGTCAGCCTGTGAAGATAAGATTTAGTATGAGCCTTATAAGTCCGTTGCCAGGATAAGACTAGTGAAGATTGGTAATCCTAGTGCGTGTGCAACGGTGAACTGGGAAGTGTGTAGAATAGCGAGGGTGCTGTATTGTCTGTAGTTCCGAGTTGTGTGAATGAATCCAATCATCCAATCCAAAACCCGTACTGTAAGTCACATGACAATATTGAATTTAGCTACACGGCAGCAGGCACCGCGATAACGGCCAGCACAGTGGCACTTGGACACCCTTGTTAGCTGGCCGCAGTATTTTTCGTCAAGCGTAGTTATGCACATAATCGAATGTATGTTTTGTTAATTCCGGGTTTACCGGTTTGCTCCGTTAATTCACTTACTGTAGCCTGTAGCTATATGTCAGGAGGGGTTCTGGAAAGGGTGGGAACGTGTTACGATCCGAGCAAATCCAGCTTCTAGCTCCTTTCGTTTATGTTTAGGGTTTCCTTCCTCCAGAAATATAATTTCGAGTAGCCTCAGGTGGGAATGGAAAGAGTTCTGCTATGTTCAGGCCGTTACATATTCTGACTTGTGTTCAGGAGGTATCAAGCTTAAATCCCGGTTCGTATACCGGTTATCCTGACGTATGTTTCTCGTCGTTCTCCTCGGGCCTGCAGTAAGATGTCTTCCTTATGCTTGTTTTCCAAATAGTCACCGTTACCCATTACTCGACGCTAAGTGGTGGCGTGTTTCCTACAGCTCATGGCTACTGGATAGGCGTCCCGGGTTTGAATCTCAGTCAGATGTTCGGAAATGTTATTTGTCCAACGAGCATAGCGGCTTGTGTGGGGATCGTACCAACCCACACTCATGCATGGCTTAATATCTCCCTCTGCTTCCTTTTCTCTCTGCCCAGTGATTATATTGTCACATGTTGCAGTGAATATAGACGGGGTTTCGATTGGTAAATAGATTTATTGACCACTTATACAGACGACTCGGAATTACAAGCGTTTACAGCGCCACCGTTAATCTCCACAATTCACAAATCACAAAAGCACCCGCTAAGCCGTTTTCCGCCTGCCTTCTCTTCACCAGCCGTTCCCAGGCAACGGCTTCTAACAGTGGGGATTCTTCAGCTTCACCCGCTCAGTTCCTCTGTTCACAGCCTCCCATACAGAACTGAACCCTCAACTGACTTTGTCCCTTGCTTATAACATCTCGGCACGAACCGCATACAGAACACCCTATTTCCATTGTTGTAGTTCGACTGTTGAATTATTAAGAATCCTCTGATTAGTAACGGGAACGTGTTTGCCGAGCCGTTGCCCAGAAACGGTAGCTGTGTACAGAGTCGCCGCTTAGCAACGGGTCTGTACGCCACAGTGTTGATATTCTGAAACTGTGTGGTACTTATTGAACCATTGAACTAAGTGTTAGCGCGTACTGTACGTTTCGGTTGTCATCGGCTGCGCCTGTGCTGTTATGCAAGTTGCTACACTGTACGCTCAAGGCGCTTGTCACTGGAATTACAATTCTTTCATTTGAAGGGGCCAGTTGTGGCCTAAATGTAAATGTAATTCTGTAAAGTGAAACACCCGGTATATTCACTGGAGAAATGGATACGCACACACTGTTACAGCGAAGACGGAGCCACGTCATTATACACTGGATTTAGTTGGTTAAATTCGTAGTACAGGAAGGTAAAAGTCAAGACCATGTCCTTAAGTAATTAAACATCGTGCCATGAGGAGATGGGGGAGTGGTGGTATAGCTCCACCAGTCTTGACTTCGGCACTGGATGGAGGTGAGTTGCCAGCTTCACCACCCGGCCGCTTTACCCCCCAGGAGACAACTGGATATGCGGTTGAGTGGGAAGAATCTCTTGCCCCTGCCAGGAGTCCCAACTGCAGCCCGTCGCTGTACCGACTGAGCTATCCCGGCTCACAACATCATTATCAACGGAAAAACGGCCATTTTTGAGCCATGAGAATCTTCCGGGTTTGTCTTGAATTAGACCAGCCGGGTTTCACTTAGTAGAATTTCGCAGCAGTAATTGTTTTCTTTGCAGAGGAATGTTATCAGTTTTGCGTCCAACCGACAACCTGGAGGACCAGGTCCGTATACACGGTGTGTCCAGGATCCGTTAGGACTCTTTTTAAATTTTGCCCTGCAATGCCATCTTTTGGCGAGTTGTGGCGTTAAGATTCTTAAAGTTTCAGCTGTGGCTGTCTATAATTTCAAAGCGCAAGCATCTCTGCGTCATGTGTTCTGACCTTGAATGTAACAGTACTGTTCTGAAGCTCGTCGGAAAATGGCGGTTGAACAGAGAGCCAACATCAAATTTTGTTTGAAGTTAGGCCGAACAGACGGAGAAGCGTACGAAATGATGAAAAGTGTGTACGGTAGTGACTTTTCGAGTCGCTCGAACATTTTTCGATGATATGCTGTATTTTGTGACAGCAGGGAGGACACTGAAGACGCTCCACGTGGGAACAAGTCGCACTGAAGAAAATGTGAAAGAAGTGACCGAAATCCTTGCATCAGACAGATGTGTTTCTGCAAGACTCATCGAGGAGCTTTTAGGAATGACAGAAAGTACTGTGCATCAAATTTTGACCGAGGATTTGGGCAAACGGAAGGTCTGTGCGCGGTTTGTACCGCACGCGCTGTCAGGCGATGAAAAACATGCCAGAGTGGAACACTGCAAAGTCATGTTACGGTCGGCCCAAAGTGATACAAAATTTACAAAATCGATTGTTACTGGTGACGAGACATGGTGTTTTCAATATGATCCTCTCACAAAGCGGCAGAGTGCAGCGTGGTTGACCCCAAAGCCGAAACCAAAGAAAGTGCGCATGCAAAAGAGTCGAGTAAAGACACTGCTAACCGTATTCTTCGATTCCAAAGGAATCATTCACAAGGAATTTCTGCCAGAAGGTCAAACAGTGAATTCTGATTATTATCTCGGAGTCCTCAATCCTTTGTGGGCGAGAATTCTTCGAATTCGACCTGAATATCGAGAGTAGGTTCCTTGTCGCTCCTCCACGACAATGCCCCACCCCACAAATCGAAGATCGTGCGCAATTTTTTGGCCAGAAAATGGATCACAGTCCTTGATCATTCTCCGTATTCACCAGATTTGGCTCCAGCAGATTTCTGGTTGTTCCCAGAAGTTAAGTGGCGATGAAAGGAGACCGTCACGACACCATCCAGGACATCCAAAGGGAATGTACAGCAGTTTTAAATGCGATTCCACAAAGGGAGTACAGTGACTGTTTTCGAAAAATTTTCAATCGATTCCAGCTATTGATTAAGAAGGAGACTATTTTGAATCAATAGTGTGAAATTTTGAAAATAATTCACGTCTTGTATTTTTAATGAACACAGTCCTAACAGAACCTGGGCACACTGTGTATACATACCTCAGTGACCCAGTTATACCCCCAGGCACTGGGATCCCTTTTCGTCGCCTTCTACGACTCTCGGGGCTGCGGTGGAGGTAGTCTAACCCGCCTCCACACTGGAGGAGGAGCAGAATCGTAATAAAATCTAAATTTAATTTAGAATTAATTGTAGTTTTTTTCTTTCTTCCTACCCTTAGAATAGTTCGTTGTGTTGCCTTCCTCGGTTCTCGTTTGGTCTCCTGCAGTTGCCTGGTATGTGCTGTAAGGTTACTTCTCTCACTGCACAAGCATGAATACAGAACCAAGTGATACAGATTGCTGTCGTTAAGATATTACAATATCATTATGAGAAGCGTCCCAGCATGTCCGCCATCTTGTGTTCCCGTTTTGCGGAAGCTGTTCACCACAGCCATCTGTATGCATGCTTGTGCAGCTTCCAAAAGTCTGTTTATTGAGCAGAATAATGTTAATTTCTCGTTATCTCAGTCGGTATAGCGGCGGGCTACGAGCTGGACGCCCTGCGTTCGATTCCCGGCGGACCACAATTTTTCGCTTCGCCACAGCGTCCAAACCGGCTTATATCCAAATGGTAGTGGAGGCTCTTTGTCCGGGGTTATCGGCTAGTGCTTGAAGCTAACATCTCAGCTTCACTCACTGTCGTGGAGTTGTGCCTCTGTTACCCCATACGTCTTAATGGCCCGTTACTTATTTAAGAATACACGCAGCTGTTTCTTCATTTATGCGCAGAACTGCATGACAGTGATTAAATCGAGGATGAGATGAGCGAGGAGTGTAGCATGCACTGTGAAACAAGAACTGATCGCCAAGAAGGTTTGTTCGGAATACACCATGGGTAAGAGCATTTGGGAGGTGTAAATAGTGACTCTTGATTTCCTGTTTGATCTGTTGCAGGACACCAGTGGGTGAAGAACAACCTGGGACTCACGCCCAAGTCTGGCTGGTCTATCGACCCTTTCGGACATGGCTCCACCGTACCGTACTTGCTCAAGATGTCAGGCATTTCGGCCACAATCATACAGCGCATCCACTACGCGTGGAAACAGTGGCTGGCCGAGCGACAGATGGGTGACTTCCTGTGGAGACAGAACTGGGATAGCGACGGACACACAGATCTGCTGACGCACAACCAACCCTTCGACATCTACTCAATCAAGCACTCCTGCGGCCCGCACCCTCAGGTCTGCCTCAACTTCGACTTCCGGAAGATACCAGGTACTGCTGCAGTTGTACAGACATCTGAAAGAATGTGTTCCACACAACAAACCAATTCAGTATCACTGTACTAACATTGGCTTTATTTTAGCATCTGGTACATATTTCGATCCTTGTTTGGATCGTCGTCAGGCAGTTCCTTAAGTACGTGTTTGTTAGTTAATTTTCTTAATATGGACCCATATTAGTGTTATCTTAAGAATGTTCTGATTTCTATATCTCGTTGTAACATGTTCGTATTTTTAATATTATA